AGAGAGACAGAAAGCGAGAAATCACCCCCTGGCGGGATGACCATGCCACAATCCCTTTTCCTCCATTTTCCTCTCGGGATCTTGGGCACACATGCACACGTGCCTGGCGTGAGTTTAAGCCACCGGGTCCGGGACTTGAACTGTAGTCAACTACATGGGAGTCCAGTGACATAGCCATTATTCCAACTGCTGATCCCAGATCTCCCTTCTTTTGTGGAACTAACCTTAGACACAGAGGGGGACTGTTATTTGGTAAGAGAGGAAGGTCAAACTGACATGTGCATGTCTAGCCCCTTACATATCATACTCCACTAGATGCTGGTCATCCCCCACGGGGTCTGATTTCTCACTTTCCCTCTCACTCTCTCTCTGGTGAGTGCGTGAACCTATGGCAAAAACCTAAAATAGAAATAATATTCAATTAAAATAAATAAGACATAACCAAACACAAGCCAATAAACCTCAACAATCTAACAGCCGAGATGTAAAAGTAACCAACCAATCAACACAAACAAGCTGCCCTGCATCTCAGAGCAGTGGCCTGCCACTCTGCACAGGGACATGGAACGCAGTACCCTGAAGAAGTTTATACGCCACCACATTTTACACTCGCTAGAAACAAATCAAGCATCAAGCAGCCTTTTCTACCCTCCCTCCTCCACCCACCTCCACTGTTACAGTTCAAAAAGTAAATGAGGTTTCAGGACCAGCAGTTAGCGTAATGGCTATGTCGCTGGACACCCATGTAGCCTACTGCGATTTGAGTCCTGGACCCGGTGGCTTAAACTCACGCCGGGCGTGTGTGCGTGCGTGCCCAAGATCCCAAGAGGAGAATGGAGGAGAAGGGATTGTGGTGTTGCCATCCTCAGCTGGGGGGTGATTTCCCACTTTCTATCTCTGTCTTTCTGGCGAGTGCACGCACCCTATAGAAAAAAAACTCTCAAAAATAACTAAATAAATAAAAGTAACTGAAGTTTGGAAAACGGAAAACCTGACAACTGGGCTGCGGTCAGCCAGCGATTTGGTAGATCTGGATCCAGTCCAGGATCCAGGACACCACAAGCCACAGCCAGCGTCATGTCAGGTGTGTCATGATTAAGCCGATGGTGCCGTTGTGCTTCACGCTGTGTCGGAAGGCAGATGCTGGCTGTGCCGGGTCTGCCCAGTGTCGCAGCTGGTCAGCATTCCTATTACCCTGCAAATACAGCTCTTAGCATGGCGGCAGCAGGCGGGATCTGTCCCCTGCCTCACCCGGGTCACACGTGACCCTCTCACGGCAGCACACGTGATCTGCCTTCTGCCTTCCCTGGTCACACGTGGCCACTTTTCCTGGCTGAGTACTTTTACTTGGAACTGCTCGTAGTTCACACGTTCAAGCAGCACATTTTGTCTCTCCGCCATCTTGTGCTAATTTTACTTTAAATTTTACCAAACCATATAATGAGTTGTTCCCTTTCCTTAAAAGGAACAACTTTAAGTGTGCTTTCCAGAGCCCTAGGAGTTTTTTTTCCCATCAGTTATTTCGGTTCACAAATGGAGATCTCAAAAACTGAGAAAAGAGAACCAGTAGGTGGTGTGGAGTTTAAGGCACTGAATCTCAAATGATTGACCCTGTGGTTGAATTCCAAACCCAGCATGCCCAAAATCCCTATGGAGACTGAAGGAGAAGGGATTGCTGCGTCCCCTGCGGGGATTTCTCACTTTTTTTTTTCTTTTTCTTTTTTTGGAGAGGTTTTTGCTATGGGGTGCATGCGCTCGCCAGAAAGACAGAGAGACATAGAGACAGAAAGCGAGAAATTACCCTCCAGGGGGGATGGCCACGCTGCAATCCCTTCTCCTCCATTCTCCTCTCAGGATCTTGGGCACGCACGCACATGTGCCTGGCATGAATTTAAGCCACTGGGTCCGGGACTTGAACCGGGGTCGACTAGATGGGAGTCCAGCCACATAGCCATTACGCCAACTGCTGGTCTCTGATTTCTCACTTTTTGTCTCTCTTTGTCTCTGGCACCCAAAAGCAACACTAAAACAAAGCAAGGATAGCAGTTTCAGTTGCAAGAGAGAGAGCCTCCACACCATGATTCTGACCCAGCCTCCTCCCTCCCTGCACACACCACCCCTTCCTCCAGCCAGCGGTTACAGGACGACCTTTTGCTGCACGGCCCTTTTGCTGCATTGCCGGTTTGCTTGGAGGGAAAAGGAATTTCCAAGCTGAAACACGCTGGATGTGTTGAGAGTGCGTGGCTACGTAACACCATATTTTTTAATACAACTGACAGTCCGTCTTGAGATTTAAGTGTTTTTTGACAGTTTTTATGCACCTGTTAATTCAAAGCTCTTAACATATGCCAGTTAAAAAGAGCCAGGCACTAAAACATCTAGTCTAGAGGCTAAATATGGCCCAGCTGCAGTGAGGCAGGCCGAGGGAAACGAGCCCTTCCACCAGGACGGCAATCAGCTGCGGCCGCCTCCCTGCAACCCGGACAGCCACTTCTCGGTGGGGTGGTGGAAATGCCATCTGATGTCTTGAGGCCTTTGGCACAGCTGGCCAGCCTGGGTCGTGTTCTGCAGTGCCAGATGGGGAGCCAGGATCTGGAAAGACGCTTGTGCTCAGCGTGGCTGCCCAAGGCCATCCTTGTGGTCCCCTGGACCTCTAGGGCAACTCTCCGTCTATCCCTGCTGCACCTCCTCTCTGCCCCCACAGCCAAGGGGCGAATACTGGCTCGTGGATAAAGATAAGGCCACGCATTCATCTACAATCCAAAGAGCAGCATTTCTGGAGTAAGCGAAGAAATAACTGGGTTGGCCCTTGGGGTGGTGGCTAAGGCTGTTGGATCCTAGATGGACAGCTATGAGGTTCGAGTCTTGGACCCAGCGGCCCGAGAAACAAACTGGGTATGTGTGCATGCCTGCCCCAAATCCCAAGAGGAGAATGGAGGAGAAGGGATTATAGCGTTGCCATCCCCCTGGGGGTGACTTCTCATGTTCTCTATGCACCTGTTAATTCAAAGCTCTTAACATATGCCAGTTAAAAAGAGCCAGGCACTAAAACATCTAGTCTAGAGGCTAAATATGGCCCAGCTGCAGTGAGGCAGGCCGAGGGAAACGAGCCCTTCCACCAGGACGGCAATCAGCTGCGGCCGCCTCCCTGCAACCCGGACAGCCACTTCTCGGTGGGGTGGTGGAAATGCCATCTGATGTCTTGAGGCCTTTGGCACAGCTGGCCAGCCTGGGTCGTGTTCTGCAGTGCCAGATGGGGAGCCAGGATCTGGAAAGACGCTTGTGCTCAGCGTGGCTGCCCAAGGCCATCCTTGTGGTCCCCTGGACCTCTAGGGCAACTCTCCGTCTATCCCTGCTGCACCTCCTCTCTGCCCCCACAGCCAAGGGGCGAATACTGGCTCGTGGATAAAGATAAGGCCACGCATTCATCTACAATCCAAAGAGCAGCATTTCTGGAGTAAGCGAAGAAATAACTGGGTTGGCCCTTGGGGTGGTGGCTAAGGCTGTTGGATCCTAGATGGACAGCTATGAGGTTCGAGTCTTGGACCCAGCGGCCCGAGAAACAAACTGGGTATGTGTGCATGCCTGCCCCAAATCCCAAGAGGAGAATGGAGGAGAAGGGATTATAGCGTTGCCATCCCCCTGGGGGTGACTTCTCATGTTCTCTCTCTGTCTCTCTTTCTCTTTCCAGTGAGCACTTGCATCCTATGGCAAATTAAAAACAAAAATAATTCTCATCAGCCTTAAAAATGATTAGGGAATAGCTACTTTAGCACTAGCCATGTACCAAAAGTTCAGTGACTCTGTACACACACAGAGCCTTGCAGTCGAAGCTCTGCAAAGGCTGGAATGGCAGCTCAGGGCGTGTGTGCATTGCTGGCTCACCGAGACTCCACGGGGCAGGGAGCATTCAAACATCTGGCACGCCTTGCATTCCAGGTTCCAGAACAATGCCGTCCGGTAGTCATAGAGCACAAGCTGCAAACGTAAGCCACACGTGTGAGTTAGAAATCTCCAGTAGCCACATAGAATAAAAAGAAACCCATGAAAATAATTTTAACACTATAGTTAACACATGTCCAAGATGCAGTCATTTTACCGTGTCATCGGTGAGGTACTCACGTTCTTTATTCTGTACTCGGGTCTGAAATCCGTTGTGCATTTTGCACAGAGGACACGGCTCAGTGTGGACTAGCCGCACACAGTGAGTTCTAAACGTGCCCCACGACATTCTGTCTACAAGTGAAAGCTAGCTCTGACGCCCTGGGGGCCCTGGGGAGTAGTGCCGGGAATCGGGTACTGGCCGGGGTATCGCTGGCGCGTCAGCAGCTTCCGCTGTTCTGTCCCGACAGCACGCTTCTTTCCCCAGGCATTGTCTGACGATTCCTCTCAGCTTCACCAGGATGATCACCAGATTCGAAGTAAAAAAGGACAGGAAAATCAGGTGAAAAGTGGAACGAGTACCCTGGCTGGAAGAGTGGCTTTGTGACGCTGGAGCGCGTCTGGGCGGAGTCTGAAGGATGCTCTGTGGGGACACCGCGACGAATCTGGACCCACCAGTGAGGAGCACGTGGCAATGTACCCCTGGGTGCGAGCTTGGGGTTTAGCCCAATGGACCTGGGGTTCTGCCATTGTTGTGGGTTTTGTTGTTGGTGGTGTTTTGGTTGGTTTGGTTTTGTCTTACAAAGCTTATTTATTTAGTTCTTCCACGAGTGAGAAAGACACAGAGAGAGAAATAGAGATGAAGAGATAGAGATAGAAATCCCCCAGCAGGGCCTGGACGGGCGACCCAGGCCTCAGCCCCCTTCGTGTTGGTGTCAGCCCAGTGTACTCAGCAGGGCCTCTGAGGCAAACGGAGCCAACCATGGGCCAGCCTCACCGAGTGTGCTTTGCGCCGTACTGCAGGAGGGCCGGGTTTTAACCTCATCTCCGCTGTGTAGTGCCATTTTTGTTTTTACCATTGTGAGTCTTTATTCCCTCATTTATAAAATAGAAATAGCTACTTCATAAAGTTACTACGAGGAGTAAATGAAGTTACCCGTAGCGCTCACAACAGCGTCAAAAAGGACACTATGGCTACTGTTGTTACTGCAGCATAAACGGGGCCTGTGGACCGTGGTACCGGCAGGTGCGCGCCCTGGCGTCTGTCCTGTAGTGCCCACCGCAGGGCTCTCCCGAGGACCGCCCCCGCTTCCCACCGCCCACCGCAACAACCGCCGGCTGGCTTCTATTTAGGGGAGAAAAGGGCATGTGGGATGTCAACTTCAGTGGTGTTTTAATTTACCAAGGACTTTTTCTTAAAAATCTCGTGATATAGCGCTCCTTTTGGGGGAAGGAGAGTGAGGTTCAGGCAGTCGGAGTCACCAGTGGATACAGCCGCCGTTAGTACGCAAGTCCAGACCTTGCTGAGGTTAAACACCTGCTGTTTCTGTACGGTGGGAGGGGCCGGGTTTGACTTTCATTACTGAAACCTCAATCGATAGTAAACACGGAGAGAAACGGTATCTCCGCTAACGCTACAACAGGCACAGGGGCGGCGTGTTTGTGGTTAAATTGCACCAGCCAGCCAGAAGGGGTTGGTGCTGTCTCTGTGGACCCTGCTGTCCCGCATCGCCTCTGCTTGAACTCGGCCTTCACCGCATGGCCGAGGGTCTCAGCCCGTCCAGGAGCTCACTCTGGTGTGAAGACTCCTGGAAACCAGGGCCGGATTGCGGCACCATGGGAGAGCACAGAGCTCCGAGGGCTGGTCTACATGTGGGAGGGTTCTAGGTTCAAGTCCAGAGATGACCCTGGGTGCACGTGGGCTTTTGAAATGGGGCTGGCTGAGGCGGGGAATGGATCACAGCTTTGGGATCCTGTTAGGGGTGTGTATTCTCTCTGTTTCTCTCTGTCTCTGTCTCTCTTGTCAGGGAAGAAATAAAGTTCAAAAAATAATGGAAATGGGGCACATTTGATAGCACATGTGTTTCAAGAGATTCCTCTCAAAAGCCCAAGATGCTGGGATGCAGCACAAAGCTCTCAGGGTACGAACGGCAGCTCCCTCCACGGCACCCACACCTGCGCAAAGCCACAGTCGGGTGAGTGTCTGGACATGGCTGGAGTGAGGCGGTGTGTGGGGCGGGAGGGAGGGCGCGGTGGTAGGGAGGGGCCTGGACAGTTGATGCTCCGCAGCTGTCCTGTGTGGCGGTCACCACTGTCTCTTACGTTAGTCACATGTCTGTTGAGAAAGGAGCAGTCCCTGGTGGCTGTCCCCAGGTCACTGCTCCAGGCCTAGTCGTCGAACACTTGCAGAGAGCTGAGCCTGGAGTGCCGTGCCCGCCCCAGTTTCCACGACAGCAGGGCGAGGATGCATTCTCCAAACTCCATCTGAATTTCTTACCTCAAATGTACTCAAATTTAGTTTCAACAAACTCCCATGTTTCCCCTGTGTTTTCTCATTCCAGAAGAACTGTTTCTACAAATTATATCTAATCACTTCTCCCAGTCAAAGGAGACAGTGGGCGTCCCAGTGGGCGCTTTCTCCATGGTGTACCGGCCTGCCCAGTTCCATGGACACTTCGAGAGTGTCGAGGCTCCGTGGACAAGCGGGAAGGTTGGGCAGAGCCCAGGAGGACAGCATCAGAGATTCCTCATCACAGACAGGCATTTCAGGCATCCACACGGCAGCAGTGGGCCAGATCTCCTGAGTCGGGCACTGGCGAGCCTCAGCCGGGGCTGCTCAGACGGCTGCAGTGCACTGTGCCTTCGGAGAACAGCTGCTCCGTGTTTCTTCCGGTAGATGGAATGGAACGAGCCCCGTGGCCCCCATGTCCTCTTGGAGGGTGGGCGAGAAAACCGGAGACAGCGCACCCAGACGTTTTGGTCCTCGCTGGCCAGATCCCATAGGAAGTGGTCTAATGATTCGGCACAGTAAAACATTGAAAAATAGGGTAGAGGATCAGAATGTTGGAGACAAAGGTAGGGGTGGTCTCTCCACTACTGAAAAAGGAAAATTACTCACTTTTCTCAGTAAGAAAAAATGCCAAAGTGTTCTTCCAGAAAGACATTTAGAACTGCACACACACACACACACACACACGCATCTCTGAGACAGACGCCAAGCTCTGCTCTGAAACCATGTGAATTTTTCTCTCATGAATTTGTCAGCCGAACTCCAAACCACTTTATTCTTTCCTCATTTCTGGTCTCTGTTCAGTATGTTTTCAGTTAGTGCTTCTTGGCATAGCTTCCGTCGGAGCTGAGAGGGCCTGTTTCTCACCCCCTTCTCTCTGTCTACCCCTATTCTTTTTCTTTTCTTTCCTTTTAAAGCATTTCTTGTGGTGTTTTTTCTTCTGGGCTCTTCAGTGGCTCCGAAAACACTGCCAAGACCCACATGAACAGGGTCTCTGGAACCCACACTGTCTGCCTGGTCAGACCATCACACAGCACGTGGGGGCAGGCGCCAAGGAGGGCCCAGAGACCTGTGGGTGCAAGCACCCCGCCACCCGCACAGCTGCGGCTCCCGGAACCAGCTGGGAACAGACACCAAAGCCACCAGGCTGTTCCAGAACTTCCTTCCCTAGCATCCTCCCAGTTGCTTTTAAGACCTAGTTTTTTGAAACCTAAGTTGCTATCCTCATTTGTTTAACTTTGGTATGTTTCATCGGAACTCTTTTTAACTGGTCTTGTCACATGTTTCAGGTTGTGGAAAATGAGAAATACCACCCGAGCCATGTGACCGTACAGACCTAAGAAGATGGTTGGGTGTTTTCCTAAGTTTCAGCAAACCAGTTGCGGGTGTATACGGAGTCCCTTCTAAAGAGCATCCCCACTGCTATTCTGACACGGAGCGTGAGACTCACTATTGAGGGACGCCTTGCCTCGTCCTTCTGACTTGCGGAGCTGGTGTGGTGCTACTGTTTCCACCAATGTATGCGCAGGCTTCAGAAAGAGCCCGTTAGGACACGCTCACGAGCACGTTTCAGACTAGCATGCAAGGAAGGGCCTAGTCAGTCCCCGTAGCAAGTTACCAGTTGCTTACACCTGAGCTAGCCCCGAAGTCTGATGAACAGTGGGAGCTGGACTGTTTCCGCCCCAGCCACGTGGTGCAGTGGTAGCACGACACTGTGGTTCTGGAAGCCGTATGGGAAAGCTGGGTTTGGTTCCCGGGTCACCTTGGACATACAGAATGGGTTGCCCATGATCCTCCTGACTGGAAGTTTGTGGGGAGAACTTGGCATGGGACCCTGTTGGGGGCACTTGGTTCTCTCTCATGAAAGAAAGAAAGAAACTTAAAAAACAAAAAACAACAACCACTTTTTTCCCTGCCGAGATCTGCTCAGATCTTTTTTGAAAGACTTACTGGTGAAGCACGAAACCCACTCTGTCTTCAGGTAACCCTGAATTCCGAGATTTCTTTCCTCCCACTCTGCCAGGGGTCTTCGCCAAAGATGTGCGAGCACAGAGCGACTTGGTGGTGGTGGGCATAGGATGTACGATCAAAGCCCAGCTCTCCACTGGGTGTAGGTTTTTCAGAAACAGTGTGTTCATTTCAAGAACCAAACTAAAGGAATTTACATAAAGAGTGACGACGGAGACCGTTGTCTCAGGGTGTAGGACGAGCGGTGTGAAGAGGAACACCATGGCGTGGCGACGCACAAGAACGAGTCTCCACACCTCCCTCAGGGACACAGCCTAGACGGCACCTCCTCACTGCTGCAGCTGCTGCTCCGAGGACTTTGACATGCCTGCCCTGCTCTACCGATGGCAGGCCCCCTGGCAGAGAGGGCAGCCCTGTGTGACTGTCCACACAATGCCAAACGCCTGGATAGAAACCAACCCACCAGGCCCGTGTCGTGAGTTTTCACACACCCAGGCCTTTGGTGTTTTAAAGGGAAACAACCACAGAGCTAAGTAGATTTTTCAGTTTTCATTCTGGTATTTGTCATTGTGTAGCCAGGTAAGCAGATGGTCTCCCCACCAAAAAAAAAAAAAAAAAGAAAGAAAGAAAAAGGAAAACATTTGCATTTACAATGACTGGTTCAAGAGATATAAATTATAGTGAAAACTTACACAAAATAAACAGTGCATCATGGTGCCATGGCTGCCTGCCTGTCCTCATCACGCAGCACATAAGCACACACCTACCTACACGCTCATTTGACACCGACCGACAAACACAGCCAGGCCAGAATCCCCCTCGACCTTCACTATTTCAAGAGACGTTATCTCAGCCTTCCTCGTCCATAAGCCACACAGCTCCTACGAGGGTAAAACTTCGCAGAAATACACGATGTCTTTGTAAATCTGCAAACCATTTTTCTTTCTGTGACTTGAAATATTGGCGCTGTGGTTTCAGTTATGAGCAGAGTCTAATGCAAAGGCACTGCTCAAGTCAAGCATGCTCTGAATCTTTGTTATTTCAGTGATCCTATGGATGCCAAAATGTAAGAAATTGATGTGCAAAGAAAAAAATTCAGCTTTAGTTTCTAAAATAAATTTAACTTTTTTCAGCAGAAATGTGATTTTTATCCAGAGAATTTCTGTTTAATAATCTTGAATTAATATATCCAAAATCAAGATTGTGTGAACAAATATTTTGTGTTCTGGTTACCGCTGTGCATTTGCCAAGCTATTTGCCTTAATTTATATTAATTAAGAAATGAAGGAATGCGTTTAAAGAATCATATTACCACTGACTTTTTAAGCAAAGATTCTCAATGTTTTCTGAAATACATAGAAAAGAAAACGTTTAAACGGTTTGATAAAAGATGCTTTCAAGAGACAGAGTCTTTTGCCAAACCTTTTGCCTAAACCTGGCATTCTCAGAAACCCCCTTAGCTACAAGGGACATTCATAAACCTCGGGTGAGCAGGGACAGACGGGTCATACCAGTCTTGTTACCGTCTCGGACGTTCCTTTGGCAGGAATCATTCTACTTCTGCCGTTTTCTTCCAGTGCAGCTGCCTTTAGGTTATACATACATGAAATGGCATTCCTTGCCAAGATATAAAATGGCATAACTGGAGTAATTTTAAGATTAGAAAGAATCAGCATTTTTAAGACAATGCACACGAATTATCCGTGTATGTTTAAATCAGGTTGGAATTGTATGGGATTATCTATAAAGTTAAAAATTATAGTGTTTGAGAAACACTTGAAATGGGCACTGAGAAACTGTGTAATTAGATAAAATGGAAAGTCTTTGAACATGTCCAGATCAGTGGAAGTGGCTTCAGAGGCATAGACTTCATGTATTCATTTTAAGAGCGGTCAAAGATTTTGTTTATGTTCATTCATTGTAAAACTCAATTTAAAAAGCATGGCACATATAATATTTATGCACATATTTACCATATATTTAAAGACAAATTTTAATGAGGCATAGCTGGAAATCCATAAACGTCTGCATGTCAACACTGGTTCCATTATAGAAAATATTTTCCTTCCTCTATTTCGTTTCTACAAATGTGAAATGTTTAGAGAGTGTGGAGGGTAAAAGAAAAAAAAGTACATTGAATAAGTATATACAGATTTAGAAAGTGGGTTGGCTTTCTGTTTCTTCTTTCTGTTTTCTTCTTTCTTCTTAATGAGAACAAAAATAGATGCATTTGTGCAGTAATGAAATTACAGGGAAAATGAGATGTAAGATGCACGTTACTACAGTGACAACGTAGCAATGCTGTTAGCAGCTCGCAGTAATCTAGAACATCCTAGGTGTATTTGCTGGGTCAGATACACTTTAGAAAAAGTCTACTTGTCAAAATTTCAAAATGTAGAGCTTCGTCATCCTGAACAAGGAAACCCAAAGTGGTTGCAAACCAAATATGTAGAGAACAAACATAATAAAACAAAAGCCAGAAAGAAAGAGAGAGAGAGAAGGCAAGAGAAGAAGGAAGGAAGGAAGGAAGGAAAAAAGGAGAGGAGGAAGGCAGGAGAAAGGGGAAGTAAGGAAGGGGGGGGAAGAAGGGAGGGAAGCAGATACAAAATTGGATCCTATGGAAATAGATGAAGAAAGATCTTTGGGGAAGACAGAGGAGAAAGTTAAAATCAGGATGGAACGGTTCTGATAAAAGAATCAAACTGAAAACAGGGGAGCAGAGTAAACACTGTAACTATGCTCTTAACAGACCCCAGCTCTGCAGGCTGTTCTGAAAGTGTGTTTTTCAAGAAAATTGGTTGCAGCAGCCCGGAGCCTGCGGCTAGCGGCGGCGTGCTGAAGTCCGAGGGGCTCCTGAGAGCCGCCGCGTTCCCTGCCCTCGGTCCCCACTGTCTCCTGACCATATGGAACCCATCTCCTTCATGGACGAGACTGGGAGCGGGGCTTGGGGAACGCGCGCTGCTGAGGCTACTCTAACAGCACGCCACGGGGAAGTTTTATTTCCAAATGATTGGTTACAAATCAGATAAATATCGCTTCTAATGAAAGCGGCCTTGAACTGCTGGAAACGTTATCTATAGGAGTCTGGGGTTTATCAAAAGTCAAAAGTAGCTTTAATCACATCAACATGCTAATTGCAGGCAGACAATAAAAGCTTTAAGAAATGATTGTGTGGGTTTTATTACTACTGACGGTCACCGAGGTGTATTTATTTCGGGAGGTAATTGTCAGAAGACTTTCTCCAGAAAGACTTGTTTGTGTAATTAAGTGCGTGTTATGCAAGCTTATCTGCCCATCGGCTCCTGCTAGTGGCCCCCTGCCCCTGAGCCTCAGAACACAGGAGCAATTAAAAAAGAAAGGCTCAGAACCTGTTTTCAGTAGTGCATTTGCGAAGGATAAAAAAAGAGAGTCAATGGGCCCTGAGGAAACACCACGGACTAGGTTGAGGAAGGTGGTTAGTCGCTGAGAATTAACGAATAAAGTAATACAAGCAAGTGGCGAGCGAGCGGCAGGGTCTGTGCTGCAAGAGCAGTAAATCATCAGCGAGGAGCTCCCCCAGTCTGGCGTGGAGTGTGCATCGGGAGATGGGAGGGAAGTTTCTGTTCTTTGTGTGCAAAGGACCATTCAGTAGAATGGGGTGATCCAGCCTAGAGAACACACACGATGGAATGAGGCAAAATGGAAAGCAGCAAGAAATGGCCGCACGCTCTCCAGGGGCCCTGGTTCTACTGTTTTATTGTGGACTTGTTAGAATTCGCCAAACTGCCTCATTTAAAAGTAATGTCAAAGCTTCAGTTCGACAAGTCTGATAACATTCCAAACCTCCACAGCCCCACTCGGTGCCCCACTCAGAGAAAACAGCAGCGAGACCCGCGGCGGCCGTGCCCAGAGCGCTTGCCGTTAAGGCCGCACACCTGAAACGTATATTTTTAAAAATGTTTCCATCTTATGTTTAATGACAAACGGACTGCCCTGTGACTGTAGCAGAGGGGGAAACATAAACTTTTCAAACTATAAACTATTTCTGTGCCATAATCATTCACCTCTAAAAGGGAAAAACCCTAATTTAAAAAATATCATTATTGTATCGAAAGATGTTGGACTGGATTTAATTCTTTCCATTCCCAAATATTGGCCCCAGTTCAGTTTCCATTTCATTCAAAGCAATTAAA